TTCTTCTTCTTCTTCTTCTTCTTCTTCTTCTTCTTCTTCTTCTTCTTCTTTGTTACGTTTTGTTTTGGATGGACGAGCGCGAGTATGCTATATTTGTGAACCGAAATTTTTCATCGATGATCGCGCCCGTGCAAGAGATGCCTTGCTATCGATACACAAGCTATTTTGCAACTGACCATTTTCATCTGTTGTCCGCTATGCTTATAATACTTCTCGCTCATTTTTAGTTGGGCGGTCATAAATGTATATGTGATGTTCATTTTCGCATTCGGACATGAACGACAGCTTAATGCAATGAAACGAATACGCAATGTACCAACTGAACGGTCGATCGTGTGTGGAACTCGGCTATTTAACTGTTGACCAATTTGGTAAATACGGAACGACTGTTGATTATATAACTTTAACGATGTTCATTCATCTCATAGGAAATTGGAACACCAGAAACAATTATTTTTGCAAGTGTAACATTAGTGCTTGGATTACATTCAACTGAAAGCGATAATTATTGTTGATGAGTAATAAAAAGTAGAAACCAAAGCCGATATTGCTTGGAGATATGCAACGACAAGTGAATAGTTTTGAATATTTTCTAGGTTGGGAAAATAGTCAATTTTGCGCCGATTTTACAAATTGAAATAATTCTGATCTTTCTGTGAAACACTTGAGGTGACTCATCTCTGGTAAACAGATTTAAAAAAAATAAAGAGTCTTCATGATCGTGATCATTTTTTTAATCTACTCGAATCTTAAATTCTGGAACAAGGGGTTTCTTATCATTTTTGATCATCTCTAAAAAATATTTCCCAATGCATTAAAATTTGAATACCAATAGTGTGCGAAGGGTAGTGGCAAGGGGATTAGCTCCTCCCTCCGAGATTTAGAAAATTCCTTCGATTTGATATGGTCTTTTGAGCCAAATTCTCGCCCCGAAATCAATTTTTCCGGAGTGAAATCAAAATCCCCTTTTTGCTAGAGGTTTTGACGAGAAAATAACTCATGGGAGGACCCCCTACGGAATTTTGCTTCACTCTCTTCCTCCTATGGAGAACAATTTCCGCTTTAATGGCTTCGATGTGACGGTATCGTTTCAAATGTATGTTTTTTGGATTCGTGCGTATTTCTTACCTTTTCACCATTCCAAAAGCAAAGCTAACAGCAGTCGTAATCAAATTGAGCAAGAATCGCTAAAAAGTAACCGATGTAAAAAAAAAACAAACAAACAAAGCATACAAATAAATGTGAACCATTGATGACGGTTACATTCGCATGAAATGGTTTAGTTTCACTTATCAAAAGCCAGTGTGGAAAAAAATTGAGGTTTAAACTCTGGTCAGTGTGCTAGATCATACAACAAATTGTATAAATTCCGAAAAACAAGTCATGAACAAAAGAAACACGGGAGAAGAATTTATTTTTGGATTTCTTTTCTCTTTTAACACTCACCGAGCACCGTCGTGTTTGAATAAAAAGTTTTTGAGTGGACTATGGACACCATCATAATTTTGTTTGTTCAATGGCCATCTCTGTCTCCCTCTTTCTCTTTCCATATTTGAACCGACAAAAACGCGTCGCATCTCTTGATATGCGAAGTTCAAATAAACCATTTAAATGCCCCGAGACACACACACACACAGCGAGAAAAAGAAATGCGTTTCAAGTACTTTGACCTCATTTCGAATCGACCGAAATAACACTTTGATGCAAAGACATTTATTTTTTAATTGTTACATATTTCAATGACCAAATATGTGGCTCTTTCAAAAATGTTGCAAATGAATAGGCGTAAGTCTTTGTAGTAACGTTTTTTCTTTTCATTTGAAGCACTTCGGTGAGTTTGGATGAAAGCCTCAAACACTTAAATCACTTGTCTCCCGTATTCGATAAACGGCACATTATATTCAATTTTCTTTGTATTATTTTTCAATAACAAGTCACGCATTAAATCCAATAGTCGATTTTATCAAAATTGATTACATCACACAAAAATCAACACAATCTAAGCACGCGTTTCATAGATTGTATTACAGACCCTTTACATCATCATTTTTCTATAGAAATCGTTTACGGTGTTCGTTTGACTGTTTGTGCGCCATGTCATTCTTTCGATCAGTTAACTATGATGATTTCGCTCAATTAAATCGTATGGCGATTTTCATTTTATACTTCTTTCGTTTGTCTATTTTGCGTAAATAAACGACAATTCATTTTTGTCTCAATGAATTCCTTTGGATTAGATTTAGTGATTTAGCTGGAGATAGCGAAAGAAGCGAATCATTGATTCTGCATCAATTCATTACAAGATTAGATTATGAGCCAAAGTAAAATGTCATGAATTAGAAATGTTACGACAATTTTTTTTCTCTTTATCTCCTTCATTTGAGTTTTAAAAACGAATGGATAAGATGACCAGGTGCATGCGCTTTGAAACAGTGATACTGTATAAACGTAAAATCTGTTATTTGTGTAAAGATTTTTTGGCGGCGCTCCGTCTCTGGTTTAAAATGTCTAAAAATTAATGTATTTTTTTTAAATTGCGTCATTACAGCGGACAACAGTTCGCGCAGGCAACGAAACTATCCTAGTTGAGAGGCGATGCAATATTAAAAATATTTTAAAAAATTAACTAACTTTCACTTTAATTTAAATTGCAAAAAAGCTCGGAAAATCAGGTTCAATCGCCCCAATGGTGAATAGCATGGTGTATAGTTATGAAGGATCAAAGTTCATAAAGACATTGTATTTTTAGAAAAAGCGGCTGTTGTAAACTTATCGAATGGATACTTTTAAACTATTGCAATTAAAAAGATTTAGTTTTTTTTCCTGTTTCAGTATAAAAATTAGTTCAGACGAAACTAAATATATATAAATCCATCTTTAGAAAGTCGAATACAGCTGAACAAATGTATGTAATATTAGATATACGTATACGACCTTCTCTTGAAATGATAAAAAACGACGATAATTGAAACAGAAAATTGATGATGCGAATTCACCGTAATTTTCGAGTCTATTCATCTATTCACATAAATAACAGAAAAAACTACATAGTCATCTGACTTTAAATCGCACACTCACCTTTCTATATATATGATATGCTTATAGTCGATCACATGTTTACATTCAAATCAGTGTGCCACTGAATTCTCTTTTGTTTTGCTGTTTGTTTTGCTGTTTGTTTTGAATTTCATTTGTACGATTCCCATTTGCGACAACCAAATCAATATAGTATCTATAGTTGTAAACTTGATTTCAACTTCCGTATACTTAATTTTGTGAATGAATTTGGATTTCTCCTGTGTTTATTTTCAAGTTTGAACATTTATGCGCTGACTCTTAAAGAATTATTTATTTCGATTAACTTGAAAAAAAAAACTCTTGTAGAAATGAATTGGTTCGAATTAAAGTGACCTGAAATTTCTTCGGAAGTACGACATCATATTAGATTTCTTATAATTTATTTATCACGTGAATACAAACAAATATTAGCAAAAAAAAAATCAAAAATTAAAAGTGTCTTCTTTCAATTCGAAGTGGTTTTTCATTGGTCACTTCCAGTACGAGGTGTGTTTTCACACGAATATCCTCAAACTTCAAATCCGTTTGAAATTTGTAGCGTCGCAGCAGATGTGCCAGAATAATTTTGGCCGAAATCATTGCGTATTTCATTCCAATACAATTTCTAGGTCCGGCTGAAAATGGAAAAAAACTGAATGGTGGTCGTTTCGCAATGTTTTCGCGTAAAAATCGATCTGGATTCAAGCACATTTTCACCCCAAATTTCTGGATTCCGATGTAAATGCATAATATTTATGAGGATCATAGTGCCTTTTGGGATGGTACCTCTGCTTACTTCAATATCAGCGCTTGGTTTTCGTCCGATAAAAGGAACCGGAGTTAGAATACGATGCGTTTCTTTGATAACACGATCTAAGTACTGCATACGAGCCAAATGTGCGTGTGTCACATCACAATCGGTCGAATCAAAAATCGATCGCAATTCTTCCACCACCAAATCTTGATGCTTTTGATTGATAGCTAACATTAATAGAGTGCTGAATGTTGTGATCGATAGTGTATCAGTGCCGGCAAAAATGATTAAACGCATTTGATCCAAAACATTTTTCTGATTAAAAATGCCATCGTGTTCCATGTGAATGCATTTTTCTAAAACATTTCGTGCCATTTGATTGTCACATTGTTGGGCTCGACGAAATTTTAACTCTTCCCTTTTTATTTTGTGTCCACATTCAAAGAGCTCATTTCCAATATTTAATAAACGTTGATCTTGACAATGGACGTCAGTAAATGAATAGGTAAAATCCCAACGTAGCTAGTATCTGCAATGAAACGTTTCAATGTACACACGAAATGTCATCGAATTAAAAGCATTTACCTTGCCATGCGATATTGAATGTTTTCCATAATTTGTCGGAAAATATGATAATAATACGGACCACGTTCGATATCGATTTCCGATTGCATATTAATTTCGAGGCCCAGCGTTGTTCGGCTAATTGTGTCCAACATGCAAATTAAAATTGTTTGATACAAATCACCCGGTTCATTGACGTGTGCGTCCATTTTTCGAAGTAAACGATGCGCTTTTTCATTCAACAGCGGTATATAACTGTGTAAAATTTTCACATTGAATGATAGATTTAGAGCACGTCGGTCTGGTTTCCATATCTTTCGATCGGTGGCTATTATCGACGATTTACACATTAAATGCTCATAAGAATACGGCTTGTTCACGCAATTTTCATTCGTTAAAATAGTTTGAATGTCTTGAGGTTCGGAAATGCCTACGAATAGAATCGGACCGCTCCACACATAAAATGGTGTCGATTTCACCTCATCGAACCAGAATCACATTAATAAGTTCATCATTGGATTTTCCCAAACGAAAAAACGTCCAACCACACCCAAAATTGGCAACTGTTTCGGTGATGTGAAATATCGTAATTTTCGATTTATGAACCAT